TCTATTTCAGATTTTCTGTTTCTTCATAATTCGGTCTTGGTAGGCTATATTCCTCTAGGAATTTATCTGTTTTTTCAGGTTATCCAATTGTTGGCCTCATTCACAGTAGTGTCTCTCTCTCTCTCTCTGTCTCTTGAAAGGTAAAGTTTTGTTGGTGCCTGTCTCTAAAAGGGTTAGGATCATTTTAATAAAGAAGTAAATAAATAAAATAGTTCCACTATCTCTGTTCTGTAACAGCAAGTTATTATAGCAAAAAAGAGAGTGTAGGTTTTAGATTCATCATGGGACTGATGCCCAGTTACACCACTTTCTAGTTGTATTCACCCCAACTGTGACATGTGAAACATACGATATAAGGATGACTTTTAGTATCTATATAAACAACACTGCCCTGAAAATTTTTAGCCAGTGCAATAGAATAGACAAGAAAAAACAAAGATGGAGAAAAAACATGGAAACGTGAAACATCATGTTGCATTGAAACAGTCATTGTGCAGAAGACAGAATTGGCTACTTTCTTGATTAGAAGTCCCAATAGATTTTACTGGCTAAATATGGTAAATACATACAATAGAATATCATTCAGTCTTCAAAAGGAAGAAGATACTGGCATTACGACAACATGGTTGAACCTGAAGGACATTATGCCAAAGGAAATAAGTCAATCTCACAAAAACAAATACTGCATGATCGACTTATATGAGGTGTCTAAAATAGTCAAGCTCATAGAAACCCAGAATATAGTAGGCTGAGAGTAGAGGGGAATGGGGAGTTCAATGGGTATCAAGTTTCAGCTATGCCAGATAAGTAAGTTCTAGAGGTCTGCTGTATGACAAACTGCCTATAGAGAATGATACAGCATTAGGCACATGACAACTTGTTAAGAGGGTAGATCTTATGTTAAATATTCTTAGCACAAAAGAAAAAAGAAGCATGTATTTCTGTCATTTCAGTTGTAGTGTCTTCTCTTCAATTTCTGATTTTTTTTTGAGTCATCGCTGTCTTAATTCTTAAGTCTAGTTAAATGTTTGTCAGTTTTGTTTATCTTTAAAGAAAACCCAGCTGTTAGGCTTGTTGATCTTTCCTTTTGTTTTACTTGTCTCTATTTCATTTGTTTCTGCTCTGATCTTTGTTATTTCCTTCCTTCTGCTAACTTTGGGCTTAGTTTGTTCTTCTTTTTCTAGTTTCTTGATGTATCAAGTTAGACTGTTATTTGAGATCTTTCTTTTTTCTTAATGCAGGCATTTATTGCGATAAACTTTCCCCTTAGAACTGCTTTTGCTGCATCCCATAAATTTTGGTATGCTGTGTTTCTATTTTTGTTTTATGATATTTTGGTTTCCCTTTTTATTGCTTTTTTGACCCATTAGTTTTTCAGAAATGTGTAGTTTTAATTTTCTACATAATTGTGACTCTATACTGGACAATATTCCATGTGGGCTTGAGAAGAATATGTAATTCTGCTGTTGGTTGGAATGTTCCATATATGTGTGTTAGGTACATTTGGTCTAACATATGGTTCAAGGGCAGCTGTTTCCTTATTGATTTCTGACTAGATGATCTATCCATTATTAAAAGTGGGATGTTGAAATCTCCCACTATTATTGTATTGTTGTCTATTTTTCCCTTCAGGTCTTAAGTATTTGCTTAATATATTTATTTATTTATTAAAAAAATTTTTTTTAGTGTTTATTTTTGGGGGAGAGAGAGAGAGAGAGTGTGAACAAGAGAGGATCAGAGAGAGAGAGAGACAGAGAGAGAGACAGAATCCGAAGTAGGTTCCAGGCTCTAGCTGTCAGCACAGAGCCCAATGCAGGGCTTGAACCCACAAACCGTGAGATCATGACCTGAGCTGAAGTCGGATGCTTAACTGACTGAGCCACCCAGGTGCCCCTTGCTTAATATATTTAGATGCTTTAGTGTTGAGTGTATGTATAATTTTCAAGAGTTATGTCCTTTGATGAATTTACCCTTTCATCATTTTTTAATGACCTTCTTTGTCTTTTGTTATAGTTTTTTGGCTCAAAGTGTATTTTGTCTGATAAAAGTATAGCTACCCCTGATTTTTTTAGGTTTCCACTTGCATGGAATATCTTTTTCCATTCCTTCATTCTGAGCTTTCATTGTCCTTACAGATGATGTGGGGCTCTGGTAGGCACCATATAGTTGAGTCTTGTTTTATTTTGTTTTGTTTTCTTTTTTAATCCACTCTGATGCTCTGTGTCTTTATGGAGAATTCAAACTATTAACATTTAAAGTAATTATTGATAGATAAGAACATAATACCATCTTATTGGTTCCTGGCTGTTTTGTAGTTCCCTAGTTCTTTTCTTCTCCTCTTTCTGCCCTTCTTTGTGAATTGATGATTTTCCTTAGTGATATACTTTGATTCTTCTACCTTTAGCTTTTGTGAATTTACCAGGTTTTTGCTTTGTGGTTAGCATGAGGCTTACATCTTATAGACATAATAGTCCATTTTAAGGTGATAACAACTTAATTTTGATCACTTAGAAAAACTCTTTGTATTCCTTTTCCCACCAAACATTTTATGTTTTTGATGTCACAGTTCACATTTTTTCCTGTTGTGTATCCATTAACAAATTACTGTTGCTATAGTGGTTTTTAATACTTTTGTCCTTTAATCTTCACACTAGAGTTAAGTGATTAACACACTACTATATTATAGTGTTAGAGTATTTTGAATTTGACTATATATTTATCTTTACCAGTATGTTGCATATTTTTATGTTTCCATGTTACAAATTAGTACTCCTTCATTTCAGCTTGAAGAACTCCTTTCAGCATTTCTTGTAAGACACTTCTAATGGTGATGAACTCCCTCAGCTTTTGTTTGGGAAAGTCTTTATCTCTTCTTCATTTCTGAAGGATAGCTTTGCTGAGTAAAGTATTCTTGGTTGGTAGTTTTTTCTTTTAGCACTTTGAACATATCATTCCACTCTCTCCTGGCCTATAAGGTTTTTGCTGAGAAATCTGTTGATAGCCTTACTTGGGGGTGGGGAGGGATTCTTTTGTAAGTTACAGACTGTCCCCCCCCCCCCCCCCCCCAGCTGCTTTTAAGATTATCTCTTTGTCTTTGATTTTTTGGCTGTTTTATTATAATATGTCTTGGAGAAGATCTTTTTGAACTGAAATTTTGGGGGGACCTATAAGCATCCTGAACTTGGATGTCCAAATTTCTCCCTGGATTTGGGAAGTTCTAAACCATTATTTCTTGATATTACCTTTCTGCCTTTTCTGTCTCTCTTCTCCTTCTGGGACTCTAGTGATGTGTAGATTCATGGTATTCTGTAATCTTGTAGGCTTTCTTCACTCTTTTTCATTCTTTTTTCTTTGTTTTCCTATGACTGGATAATTTCAAATGACCTGTTTCTGCCCACTGATTCTTCTGTTTGATCCAGTCTTTTGTTAATGCTCTCTATTGCATTATACCCACTCCTCCCCTGCCATTTAATTCTTTATACTTTTTAGCTCTCAGATTTCTGTTTGGTTCTTATGATTTCTGTCTTCTGTTAAAATTCTCATTTTGTCCACATATTATTTTCCTGATTTCATTGAATTGTGTTTCTATTATTGAATTGTGTTTTCTTATAGCTCACTGAGCTTCCTTAAAACAACTATTTTGAATTTTTTATTGGGAAAATCACAAATCTCCATTTCTTTGCAGTTGGCTACCAGAAAATTATTGTGTTCCTTTGATAGTATCATGTTTCATTGATTTTTTTCATGTTCCTTGAAGTCTTGTGTTGCTGCCTTCACATTTGAAGTAGTTACCTCCTTTTTGTCTTTACTGACTGACTTTGGTAGAGTAATAACTTGTTAGCCCTGCTAGAGAATCTGAGGCTTTCCCAGACCTTTTCTGTGACATACCTGCTCCAAACTTCTTAGGGGGAGAATACTTAAAATTGCATGCCTTCTTTTGATCCTACAAGGTCCAGATCAATTGCTGATAGACTCTTGTTTGTTTTCCCCAGGGCAATGCTAAACGCTCAAATTTGTGTCCTTTCTCTCAGGCCTGCAGATCTGGGCCAGCTTCATGCATGCTGTATGACTCATGAGGCATCTTCAAATGCTTGCTGTTGCTATTGTCAGTGGCATACACAGAGAGCTGGCTGCAGGGTGAGAGGTGTGTGGATGGTGTATGCAGAATGTTAGGAGTGCCTGTGGGCCATTGGGGGGGGGGGCGATATTCAGGAAAGGTGACCCCAGCAGCTAATGGGCAGGCTTCCTGATGGGATCTGTGACATGGTTAGTAAGATCCACATCCCTTTGATGCACTCTGAAAGTCTTGGCTACTGTTTGCTCAGCCAAGCCATGTAGCATACTTTAGTTTTCTGGATGGGATGAGAAGGAAGCTGTGACCAGCACAGCTCATTCACAGGATCCCACTTTTCCTTGTGGGAGGAATCGTGGACCAAAAAGTTCTCTCTTGGCACTGAGCTATGCCACCGTGGGGAAGGGGTGATGCAAGTAAAGCAAAACCATTACTGTCACTTTCTTCAATGCATCCAATCTTGGACTTTTTCCACCAATGGTGTACTGGAACTTCTACACTGGACTCTCAGCCTTCCACAAAGGCACTCTGTTCCGTGGGTGATTGCCCAAATCGGTGTTCTTTTTCGAGGAAGATGGTAAGAAAACCCCTATTTTGTCATTTGGATGTCATTGTTGCCAGTTTTCTTCTTTGAAGTCAATGCCAACAATGCAGAACACGGTTGATGCCTGCTTTGGCACCCTACAACAGCAATGCACTAAGTAAATGCTTAAGAACCTGAGAGATTTTGTGCTCTAAGGCAGTAACAGTCTCCCAATTATGTTGTTCTGTCCCTTACAGGAGGTGATTTTCCTTGTGGTTTCCCACAGGCTACTCAAAATGTACTGGTTGGTGTATCTTTTACTTGGCTTTCCATTCAGCAGAACGGCTTGTGTAGAGTTTTAGTCTCCACATGTGTATTTTGACTTTCCATTTGGTGCTTTGGCAGGAATGCAAGACTTCAATTACCTCAGCAGCAACTGTTTCGAGATCACCGTGGAGCTTAGCTGTGAAAAGTTTCCACCTGAAGAGACTCTGAAGAGCTACTGGGAGGATAACAAAAACTCCCTTATTAGCTACCTCGAGCAGGTAAACACCATCTCCAGCATAAAATGGGAGATCTAAGAGCATTTAAATCTGGCATACAATGATTTCCTCAGAGGAGTCCAGTCCAGAGGAGTCCATCTGACTCATAATGAGGACTCTACATTTGGAAAACATGTCAGCAGTGGTCCAAACAGGCTTTCATTTGTCAGAGATTTTGTGGTTCATGAATATTCCCTGAGAACTGACCAAACTGAGATTTGTGGGAAGTGAGGTGATACCCTGTTTTCATTCATATTGCTCTAAGCCAGGTAGTCCTAGCACCCTCCTCCATCCTGGTCATCTTGGGCCAGTCAGGCATCCCTGGCAGGACTAGGACAAGAGTGAGGTAAGTGAGGCACTGAGAGCCCAAAATTTAAGGAGGCACTTTTTCTTGGAGGCATGCGGGTATACGATTAGCACCTGAGTGTGAGTGCTTCCTTAAATTCTGTGCCTCACATGCTCCACTTGTCTCAGCCTTGACTTAGTGAGATCTCAGGTAATCATAATAATTACCTTTACGGGGTGTTTACTGTTTCCCATGCGTTGTTCTGAATGCCTTACATGTAATCGTTAATGCATTTAATTTTCACAACAAACCTGTGAGGGAAGTGGTATCATCATCATCATCGTCATCTTCATCATCTTCATCATCTTCATCATCATCATCATCCCTGAATTAAAAGTGAGGAATCAGAGACCAGACAAGTTAAACAGCCTGCTTGAAGTCAATCAGGCAGAATTTTATTTTATTTTATTTTTTATTTTATTTTATTTATGTTTTATTTATTATTGAGACAGAGAGAGACAGAGCATGAGCAGGGGAGGGGCAGAGAGAGAGGGAGACACAGAATCCGAAGCAGGCTCCAAGCTCTGAGCTGTCAGCACAGAACCCGACGTGGGGCTCGAACTCACAAACCACGAGATGATGACCTGAGCTGAAGTCGGACGCTTAACTGAATGAACCACCCAGGGGCCCCAATCAGGCAGAATTTTAAAACAGGCTGTCTAGTTCCAGAATCGCCGTGCCATATTGCCTCTGGTGACAGAAACTTAGATCTTCACTAGACAGGCACTTATATAACCATTCCTGTGGAGTCTGTACAGAATTTGGGGGGGGGGGAATCTCATCATCTACCAGAGTTAGATACCTTACCTACTGAGACTCCATACAGGCCACTCGCTGCCAACCCCACATCTCTATACCATGTAGACATTGGCACCAGCGGCCATGGGGGCGAAACAGACCTAAAGACTCTGTTCCTTGCCTGCAGTGCCGTGACAGTCTTCAAATTGCATTCTGTATATGGCTGTTTACACCCAAAGCCAGATAGGGTGATATCAGTTTCACATGCCAGCAGATAGTCCAGATTAATTTAAACACTAATTTGATACAAACAAATGCTATGAAATAAACGTGAATCTATTTGCATATATGTTGACATACAAACATGCATATGAGACTGATGCATTTAAAAAGCTGTAAAATCAGCTCAAGTATTCTTTTACATGTGTCAGATATCCATATAGTACCTTACCAAAAGAGATTCTCGTGGAATAGATCCACTGTTACTCACAATGATTAAAAATTACTTATTACACAGGATTTTTTCAATCAGTGGAATCCCGCTTCATGGTAATATAGAAAGGCATTTTCAGCAACAAAGGCTAAGGATAATTAGCCATGTCGACCCTAGAACGACCTTGATAGGAACCCCTCTAATAGTGTCTCCTTCAAGGAGAGCTGTAAATGTATTTTCTGAGTAGAGGAAGTAAGACTGGGCTATTTGGTATGTGTTCTCCATTTAGATATCAAATAATGTCTCTTTAATACAGTGCTTTTCATTTTATTTACATATTTTTTCAACAAAAATTTATTCAGCTACTCTAGTGTCCTAGGCACACTGTGAGGCACTGGGGATAGTGACTGACTTCATATTAGTGGAGTTCAGAAACATCAATACCTAATCACAAGAGAGGATGATAAATGCTAAAATAAAAGTCCATTACAAAATCGGTGGCGGTACACTGGGTCCCTAATCCAGTCCTGGCAGTTCAGCAAAGGCTTCTTGGGACTACTGTAAGATTTACTATAGTTGAAACACCAATAAGATGATTACTCTGATCATCAATTAAAAAAACAGATTCAGCTGCTGCTTAAGTCTTGGTTCTTAAGAAAAAACTCAATATAAAACAAAACCCACAAAGGTATACCATCAGGAAAGAGGAGAATATTTGTTATATTTATGGTGGCAGGTAGGCATGTATTAATTCATCTAAGAGCTATATCAATTTATATAGAAATAAACTGAAAAGAAGAGGGTTGTACATACCTGTTTTATGCCACTTGGAATAAGAATGTGATCTGTCCACAGATCAAGTGGTCCACACTATAGGACATCAGTATTACGGTGCAAGTTGTGTAGAAGCAAGAAGAGTGATATTTACAATGAGCTCATCCAACTTGCTTCATAGAACACTCTAATTTAGGGACTCAAAGGCTGATGACATATGAGTGAAGACTGCCAGAAGTTCTGTGTTGAAATTATTTCATTGACAATGAGACACAGTATGGTGGGAATTAGTAATTGAACACCTGGACCTATAGTCTAACCATGGATTAGTTTACGACTCATGGAAAATAGGTGATTAGGAGGTCTAATTCTATAATTGGTTGAGAGGAAATCTCTTGCAGAGTTTTAAAGGGATGTTTGTAGGAATTGGAATTGTAAAGTTAATTAGTACAGTTTGCTGTGGTGGAATGCCTCTCTCTCAATAGCTTTGGAACAGTCTAATTCTCAAAATTCCTCACAAAATTCACAAAGAATGGTTCATGGGTGCCTGCACCAGAATCACCTAGATTCTTGTTAAAAATGAGTTTCCTGTTCCATCACTGAATCCCACTCCCTGCATGGTAGGACCCCCAAGTCTCCATTTCAGCAAGCTCTCTGGGTAACACTTAAGTATAGGAGGGCTTAAGGGTTACTGCTATGCACAGTTTTAGTAACCATGGAGAATCTTCTGGATGTTCTTTGTTTTTCCAGCTTTGGTTGATTGATGTCCTGGAATCTGAGGAGAGAACATTACAGGAGGGACAAGTGTAGCAAATAGTTTCTTCAGGCATGAGTGAAATTTGAATTTCTCTGTGATTTCCTTTGCAAAAGCCATAAAGTGACAGCTGCATTCATGTAGACTTGTGAGAGCCCATAACATTTCCATTGAGATTTATTACTACAGTGGAAGTTTTCCAACAGAGAAGTTTGCTCCAAAAACTGGCTTATCAGAGACAGATACTTATTTCACTATTTGTTAAGCTACAGACCGTAAGTCTTGGGTTGCAGAGGCTGAAAAAAGTAATGAATATTAACTTGGTGTATTTTTGCCTAATGCAGGTGAACTATATGTTTTTAGAGTGATTGTTTGACTTATTTTCCAATGATAAGGAAATTTAAAAATTTATTTCTCTAAGGTTTATAATATTGATAATACCGGGATTTTGGTGCCTCAAGATGAATAAAGTACATGTAGGTAAATAATTGCTTGTTTGCAAGCTTTCTAAATTTCTTTGATGAGCCCTCATCTTAAGAAATTTAAAGATTGTATTTTCTTCCCTGATTTTCTTCTCTATGTATATCTCTCTTCCTTTTCTGTAAAAAATTTCAGATCCCCAAATTGCCTTTAGAGGAAAGAAGTACATGTGATTTTCGTAGAGTTTCAGAGGTTTTGCTTTAAAAAAAAATAGCAAATGCAAAAGGATTTGCTGATAATCAGGGGCATCCCCTTGCTAAAACATTGTACCACTGTCAGATTTATTCTCTGATGACAAAAGCGTACTTGACACTTATTGTGCCTTCTGTAGGAAAGATTCCAGTATCATCGGTAGCAAAAGAATATTCACTTTCTAGGGTTAAATTGAGTGAGGAGGAACCTGAGCCAACCTGAGCCTTTGAGAGTTCGGGAATCTTCTGTTAAGTAATTAAGCTTAATGAATTACCATTTGGTTTTCCAGAAGCACTTTCCAAGAGACCTGAAGTGACTCTCTGTCACTTCAAACACATATTGATTTAGCTGAACCATTGTTTCAAAATGAGGGAAAAGAAATCTGCTTTTATAGTTTGTAGTGCTTTAGTTGTTGACTGCAACTTAATCTGGGGGCCATTACTCTCGACAGCATCTCCTTCATTTTCTTTCTGAATCGAATCTTCAGTTTTGAAGTTCACAGATCCTTCATGTCACTTATTTTCAAGCAAATAATATTGTTCCATTGCAAGAGCAATCACAGTATGTGTTTTCATTCAACATGAACAAATATTAAAGGGCTGTAATGTAATATTATTCTTAACTGGCAGTGGCCATACAACCTATATATAGGTGACCCAATATAAGAGGGACAAAGTCATGAAATATGCTAAGACCAGAACTACTTTACAGATGTGATGGACAATTTTGTTTTTGTTTTTGTTTTCATTCTGGTGGTTCGGAAGGTACTTTAATGCCTTTCTTTCACTCAGAACGAGATTTCAGTTTTCAGGGTTTTTTTTTTTTTTTTTTTTCTCATTTGTCCACTTGAGGAAAAGCCGTGTAAAGAGTGTTCAACAAAATTCAGTAGCCTCATGAGCATATTTTGATCCTTAAACAATGAGGATCTACAGTATTTTGCTAGCAAATAAGGAGATTCTTGACAGAGATGTGTCGTCAGATCATTTCTAGTATGATTTTTGTGGTTGTTCTTGACCTTTACAGATACACCGAGGAGTTAAAGGCTTCGTCCGGGACCTTCAAGGTAACCCAATTGCCAATGCAACCATCTCCGTGGAAGGAATAGACCATGACGTTACATCTGGTGGGTGTTCTCTGCCGTGATCTGGAGGCTCTAGTGTTATATGCAGAGCACGATTACTTGTTATTATAGTTAACAATTTTTATGCTATTCTAAGCAAAACAATTGAATGCCTCCTTTCTCTTTACCTCCCTCTCCCCCATCTTTGACCTAGTTAAATTTCCTTTGTGGGAGCGAGTCAGGCACTCTGGATGGCTGCTGGCTTAGAAATTGGGGTGCAGCAGGTGGCGCCCTTTCCTCAGCTGTCTCAGCCTGGAGCTGCCGGGTGGTGCCACCCACTGGAGATTCTGTGGAATTCCTGAGGCAAAGGCAGATGAACTAGCTGGAGTTGAATTATCAGTGTCTTTCCCTTCTGTCTTAAGTGCTAATAAGCTGTTAATGGGACGACCTCAGGAGGGAGTGAAAAGAGGGGGAAAGAAAAATGCCAGTGTCTAGGATTCCTCACACATTTCTTTATTTCATCTGTGTGAAAAATCCAGACTCATTCAGGGTTAAACAGGATGTTAACAGAATTGAGGTGGATGTTAGCTATTTCTGAGTTCCAAATGCCGGTTCCATTTTCCCTATTTGGAGACAAGGATGTATTTTCCTGGAAAACCTACGTAGTCCCGTTCCATTTATCCAGCAACAATATGTTTTTATGTATAATCTACTCATTTATTTCTAGACCTTGTAATTAATGAACCTTTACCTTATTTTCCAAACCACTCTATACCATTACTTCTTTCTTAACCTCCTCATTTATAACTTGTATATTTTAAAAATCCTTAACGTTTCCCCTTTAAAGCTCCATTTATTTATCTATTTAACAAATATTTATGAAAACCCCAGAAGATGTGGCCAGCACATCTTGCCAACCAATATACCAGAATCTGTGCCAAGACATTGCTCCTTTAGCCCTTGGGAAGCCCAGACCTTGATCCCCTCTGCCACATGAAGTCTCTTCTGTCTGTGAACCCTGGTGCCATAGAGATATGATTTCCTCTGCATTCCATGGTATGAGAATTTTAGGAGAATGTAACAAGGGGAAAAAAAAACATAGGTAAGAGTGAAATCTGAGGAGTAAGAGTGAAACATAGGTAAGAGTGAAACTGTGGAACACTCCACCCCTTTGAGGGCAAAGTAGTAAGGAGGAATGGAGTCTGAGGTAGAGAGAGAACCAAGTGCATTTTCCTGGGAGCCTGGAAGTATTTCAAGATGGAGGGACTGATCCGGAGTGCCAGGTAAGCTAAACCTTTCGCATGAACCAGTGTGGAGAATCCCGACAGAATCTGTTTCCACGGACCAGTGGGAGCCTGATCGGAGGGTCTAAGAGAGACTAGGAGAGACATTAGAAAAAAGAGAGTATTGACAAATCTCTTCAGACATTTTGCTGTAAAGCGAAAGAGATAATGATGGCGCCTGTTGAAAGGAGATGTGGGGGTCAGAGGAAGACCGGAAGAGGTGGCCATGAGGGTTTTCTTTATTCTGATTTCATTTTCATAGTGAAATAAGATGTAAAGCATCTACTGGGAGTGAGGATGAAGAGGATGTGTCGGTAGTGTTAGGAAAAAGGAAAAAGTGTGAAATGTCCACTAGGACCTTGCTACTCAAAGCTCAGCCCCCACCAGCAGGTGAATTCAGCACTGCCCTGGAGCTGGTTAGGAATGCAGAATTTCAGGCCTCACCCCAGGGCTAGTGAATTAGAATTCGCACAGTACCTAGTTTCCCAGGTGATTGATGTGCACTGGTCTAGGAAGATGGGAGTGTGAAAGGACCAGGGAGGAAGGGACCAGAAGGAAAGCAGGGCAGTTCCATGCCCTCGGTTAGGTTGGTGTGTATGTGTCGGAGACTGATGAGCGTGATGGTGTGTTTCCTCTGGCTCCATGAAGCTGGTGACAGGCGGAAGGCCGAAAATTATCCAGGATTGGTGGCTTGCCAGGCATGTATAACCAAGAGGGAAAAGCAAATGAGTTGAAGGCATGTGCTTTCAGTGATTATAGGGTGGCCAGGGAACCTAACCTAGGTTAGGAGGGAGCTGTGGACATGTGGGGTGAGAAAGAGTGTGAACCTTACTTCTGCTTAAGAATTCTCTGGAGAGGGGCGCCTGGGTGGCGCAGTCGGTTAAGCGTCCGACTTCAGCCAGGTCACGATCTCGCGGTCCGTGAGTTTGAGCCCCGCATCGGGCTCTGGGCTGATGGCTCAGAGCCTGGAGCCTGTTTCACATTCTGTGTCTCCCTCTCTCTCTGCCCCTCCCCCGTTCATGCTCTGTCTCTCTCTGTCCCAAAAATAA